ATGCCGCCCCTAAAAATGTGCCGCCCCAAGCACCAGCTTGTTTGGCTGGTGCCTAGAGCCAGCCCTGTTCAAATTAAGGAGTTCTCAGTAACTTGAACACATCAGATAACAGTACAACAAGGGACAACTCAAAATCTGGTGTAGGGAAAATTTTTAACTGTGTTCTTCTTTATAAGCCACTGCTGCCGATGGGTACGTCTTGCAAACTTCCTGGGACCAGAAGGGGGAGGGGGGAGGAAGAGAAGAGAGACCATAGTCTGATTACAGAGAATTAATTTTAAAAATCAATGCAAGTGCCTTTGCCAATACATTAGTAAAATAGATCACAAACATAAACATCCATTAGTTATCTAAATAAATGTGTATTTCAATTTAAAAATAGGTTTTAGAGGTTATGTTTCACTTATATTTCTCCAAATACTTTCTTTCAAGAGCTGTCATTTTAATTTCTAGTTTCACTTCACAAACATTACCTGAGCCTTTAGTGTCTTCTATATTTCACAAAAAGAACAGAGCATTGATGTAATCTGTGAAGTTCACACTACCCTCACAATGACAAAAATATTCACTCAGAATGTGACACTTTCATAGTATTGCTACTATCCAAACATGTAAGACTGATATTTGTATCTAACGTTTAACAAAAAACATTCAAAAATAAGGATTGGAAGGAACAAGAACTGAATGTGTTTCTTCTCCCTTCCCTTCTTTTTTCCTCAATTAAAATCTGTGAGAGCCTTATAAAATGTGTGCATGAAGATAAGTCAGCATTAGTGACATGTTAAAGTAAAACAATCGATATGAGCCTGTAACTCTTACCAGTAATTCTCAGTAGAAGAAGGTACGTTACATCCAAAGAGTAACATGTGATGGACAGTGTCCATGCTGGCTTGAGGCCTGAAGTCAACTGAAAGACAAATTGATTCACATTTATGTTTGTTGTTTGTTTTATTCTCACTACAGCAGACGATTTTGAGATTGTCCATTAGGTGCATAATAAAGATATTGTTGTACCATCATTTGTTCATGGTCTCATGAACAGAGATAATTTTTTGTTTTTTGTGTTCACTCTGATGTGATGGCTCAACAGTGCCAGAGTGTTTAAGCAATGGAAAGAAAGCTGTATACTGCAAGTTGTGTTTTTGTTGTTTTTAAATGTCAATTTCTTACTACAGGACAAAAAGGAATTATACAGAATGGATTGTGCCTTCTTTTCCCTGTCCAGTCATACTTCTAAATATCAAATCCTACTGCTTTCAATCCAACTGTGCCTCCATGACGCTGCGAGAAAGGTAAAAAACCCTACCAGACCTCTGCCAATTTGGCCCAAAAGGAAAAAATCCTTCCTGATCCAAAAACAGGCATTTGGTCAGACCCACAGAATCCTAAAGCCACAGCTCCTATAGGACAGGTGGGGCAGCTAATAGAAGTTAGAGGCTTTTGAAAATCCCGTGAGAGAGTTTAAGGGGGGCAGGGAGAGAGCATGTGAGAGCCAATGGGCCAGCCCATTCCCCCAGCCAATATGAAGATGGAGAACCCAAGGAGAAGGATGGGTCAAGCCCCAGTCTTGCCAAGCACAGGCTCTTGCATCTTTCCCATCCCTCTCCTCCAGGCCCTGTGTCACATCCCCTGAACATCTAGTCAACCTTCTCCCCCAAACTAATCGATGTGGGGAGAGGGGAGAGCAGTCCCACTAAAAGCGCTCATATGCTTAGACAAAACAGCCAAATAAATGGCTAGTTTTGCTCACAGACATCAGTATATTGTATCAGGTATCATATAAAGATACAAATGAGTCAAGTCTTAGGTGTACCCAAAGTTCCCATTAAATTCTGAAAAAAAATCTAACCCCCTTCACCCCAGATTCAAACATAGCTCTGGCACATCTGCAACCCAAACATCGTTCTAGTTCATGCCAGAAACCACAAAAGAAAAAAAAGTAAAAGCTTTTTGTCAGATCTGAAGGAATTGCTAGTAAACAAACAAAATGGTGAAAGTTAAATGACTTTCTTAAAATGAGACAAGGTGGGTGAGGGAATATCTTTTATTGGACCAACTTCTGTTGGTGAGAGAGAGAAGCTTTCGAGCCGCACACAGTTCTGCTTCAGCTTTTTCTTAAAATGTTCATTGTTGAAGTTCAGTGCTTTACGAGTACAAGCAGAGCATTTTTAATTTGATTTTTAACTTGGTAGAATCACTTAAAAAAAAAAACAGGATGTAAACTACCCTATCTTCTAATTTAATGTTATGAATTAAAGAAATGAGCAGCTTTCAGATGATTGCCCCATCTTGTTTTTTGGCAATATATTAAGTACTTAACCAACTTAACCATTGCATAACTGGAGAGGGGAAAAAAATCAATCAGAGGCAATACTGAAATGCTGTCTATTGACATTTTAAAAGCATTGCCCCACAGGAGCCACAAGATAGTGCAACAGCAGTTTACAGCCAAGCACTCTCTTGGAGAAGAATGCCCCAGGCCAGTTCATTCTTTTACAGCTTTGTTTAATATTACAAAAGAATATTTAAATATTTTAGTTAATTTTATGCATCAGAAAACAAAGCTATAAAGCAATCAGCAAAGGAATAATAGAAGCAGGAATTCCAAGTTGACATCTGGAATTTTACAATTCCCTTAGGATGCTACAAAATCATCTGTGAGCTGTAATACTTAAACTGACAGCACAGTAGCACCAAAACAACCCAAAACATGGTGTGAGATGTCTACGTACTTATTTTTTCCAAAGAGAAAATACTATAGTCTTATAAGACAGTAGAAAGGGAAATAAAGAGTTGAATATAGAATCTTCTTTCGCTCTAACTGAAGTCTTTGGGCATAATCTAGGGCAGTATCAATAAACTCTAACGGCCTGTGATATACAGGAAGTCAAATGAGATAATCTGATGGGGTGCTTTTCAGCCTTAAACTCTATGAAAGTATACATGCATCAAGTCAAGTTATACCTCAAAATCCAAGAATAAGCCTATTTTTATAAAGACTAGAATTTCTTGAGAAGCCCTCTTAACGATTTGTCTTCCTTAGCTGTGCTGTGTCTCCCTATATTTGCCTTTGACATCCAAACGTTTTCATGATTTCTTCCTCATTATTCACCTGTCTTGAGAATGATTGAACACTGGTTGTGCTCGCCATGTCAGACACTGCTGTTAATTACTATTAATCATATGTTTATAAGCAGCTACAAATCTTTATTTTCAGTAGTGGTGAAGTAAAATCTTTCAGGATAGTCCCTTGACTTCAAAGCTTATTCCATCAAATCATCATATTTTTCCTGTAGGACCTCAATTAAATGATAATTTATTGGAGGATATTTAAAGAACTTCAGAGAAAATAGACCAACTATTTGCTTCATTTTCTGAAAAGACAGGTAGAGGAGGTAGGCAGAAAACAAACAAACCAAAATGAAACAAACAAACATGTTTTCTTACACTGGAGCTGATTTTAGAGAGTTTAACTGATGGGAAAACAAAAGTCCTTCTCATAAGTGCCTTGTCAGCTCAAGCACGGGTCAAATACTCATGCTCTGGGTCCCACTCTTCCCAGTTTACCAAACCTTATTCAAGTGAAACCTCTGACTCTATGAGAAAAGTCAACTGGGCACCAGATGCATATAGGAATACTGTCTACAACTGGGATTTTCTAAGGCGCCTAAAAGAATTAATCCCAATGAAGTGCAATGGGAGCTGGGTGCCTAATGCCCTTCGAATTCTTCCAAAATCCCAGTCTAAATTCCTACGTGATGTGATTGGGGGATTGCTAAGAACTAATACTTTTCAGAAAGAATTAAGAAGCCTGAAATAGATTTTAAAGTGGGGAACTGCCTAAATAAATTGCTTATCAAAATGAGCTAAGACCGCCTCTCCTTCCAAAATACCACATATATGGCTTACACCTATCCAGAATGCTGGAAATAGTTTAGGGTGAAGGTTTCAAGAATCGCAGAGCATACTCAGCAATAGGTCTAGATCTACAGAATTTACTCCTGCTAAGCCACAGATGTATTTAAAAGTGAATATGGCCACCTTGCCTAAGTCTTTCTGTGATTGAGTGCCTTGAAATCCTGGACACATGGGTAAAGGTCAATGTTCAAATGTCTCCATTCTTTGTCTAATAGCATTGTGTTTTGCTCTTCGCATTTGAAATGCTGTTAGTTTTACTATTACTTGTAGTCCATTTGCAAGCAACAGAAAACCCAAAGCAACAGCATACAATATTTTTGTCAGCAAATTCTATTCATTCCGTAATCATAGAACAATTCTGTACTAAAGACATTTTATTTCCACCTTTTTATCACTGTGGCTTAATAGTGAAATTACAATTAACTCTTAAATGAGACAATGTGTCATTAATGTGAAGTTCTTAACTTGGTTCATAAGCATTTTAAGATGCTATTGACAATTTAAGCAAGAAAAAGTTTTCTGAAGGAGGTCATAAATGGTTCATAAATGTGAAACAGGATTATCTTTATTGTAGAATCTGACACATATGGAAAGTATAATGTGAGTAATATATAGAAAGGCCAGCCTTCAAGAAAGTAATAATTAAAGGGAACACAGTTAACTTAAATAAAAAAAATAAAAAAAAACCACACCAAAAAACACACACCACACTTCTGTCTGAATATTTTTACTTGCTGTTTTAATTAACATCTAAAATTACTACAGTTGAAATATTAGAGAAAATAAAATGTTTCTTTTAAAAATAGGAAAATTTAACTATAAAACCATAAAAATTAGTAGGGGCAAGTATAATACCTGCAATTGCTTTTAACTATTTTTTTTAAATTGATTACAGTCAATCATAATTGATAGTCTACCTTTAAATACTCACAATAATGAACAGTTTGAAATTGAGTGTTACTTTATAAACTAAGAGAAAGACAGGGATATTGCTCTGATACCAATAGTTATCTAATCTATTGGTCTGATACCAGTAGGACTAGTATTTTTTTCCCTTTGATGTTTTGCGGTGTGTTGTGATTGGCGCTATCTATATGAAGGCTGAAAGACCGATCGATCAAGGTTTTGCCCCAGGTCTTTGTTGGGATATTTTGATTTAAGCCACAAATACAACTATTAGAATACTGCATGCTGAGAACACTAAGTAGAATGTTTCCTTATGTCTAAAGGTGAAAACAAATGGATAATTAGATATGCACGCATACTCAATGTAAGGGCCTGATCCACTGTTATTTGAAAGGCTCCCATTGACCTCAATGAATTTTGGTCTGGACCGTGTTTTTTTTGGCTCAAGGAGTTTGTAAGTTTTGCAAGCCCACCTTTTGGTGGGGAGAGAATGGATGAGCCCACAAAGGGAGCTCTCCAAGACTGCTGGCCTGTAGTTGTGTGTTCCAGCTGCACCCTGAGTGCCTAAATCCTTGGCACTAGAGGCATGAGAGACAGCAGGAAATTACCAGCCTCTACCTAGAGATATACGACTATAGCTACCTCCCTTCTCTGACCTCTCATCCATCCATCCACAGTTGTAAACCACAGACCTGCACTTGAGGCATAACTGATGAACATGAGTTTAGCTGTAAACACCTGGATAGAGTCTATAGCACAACACTAGACAGGTAACAGGAGCAGAGTGGCAATGATATTTTCAGATGACCTCAAGATTGAGGTGTAAAACCGTAACACCTATGTCCTTGCCCAGGGATGACCATAAACTCATCCAGTAAGTTAGGCCTCTTTCCCACTCCAGCCCCATTACTTCCAAGCAGGCAGCCCAGTGAGCCAGTTGGCCCTGGAGTCTGAAAGTCCCCAACCTGGGGCAGTCTAGATGGTGGGGCAGCCCCAGAGCTGAGGGCACTGGGAGATGGTTCTAAGACTTCCAGGCTCCCAGCTCTATGACAGTGACCCTGGAAGCCTTGAGAACCCTGTCTCAAATAGGGAGCCTAGCAGCCCCAGGAAACCATGGCTCCAGCCTGGGCTCTGGCAGGATCCCTGCCACAGAGCAGGAAGCCTAGTGGCCCCAGAGATCTGGTTCTAGCTGGGGCTCTGGTGTCTGCTAGGTTGTCTGCTGCAGAGCTGTGACGCTGGAACACCGGCAGATTTCCAACAGAAGCTTGCCTGTGTTTCAGAAAAAGTTTTGTCAAATCTGCATTAGATTCAGTGAAACATTTTGCTCCAGAGAATCAACATTTGCTGACAAAACTAAGTTTTGTTGTAAAGTTTCCAACCAGCTCTGTATACAATACCTTTATGTTATTTATTAAATTCACCCCATCAAACATAGTTTGTGCATTATGTAGCTGAAAATAATATTCTTGATCAAATCTTCACTCATACGTCTTCCAGCTGGGATTTTAATTTCAACCCCAATGTATTTTGTAAAAAGTGATGTAATTTATAAATGCCATTATGCTACACACAGATTAGCCATTTTAATAGTCAAATTAAGAATTGCAATCTAGGGACATATACTAAATATCTGTATTTATATAAAGAAATTGGGCCTCCCTTCCCAACACAGAGCTCCCCATCAATTGTATTATGAACTCTGAGGGAGTTGGGGTGAGTTAATTCTAACGGTGTCTAGTTTAACAATTTAAATAGCGAATCCTTTCGAACATGGCTATTCTTAAAGACAGTAACTTTATATCTCTTGCCCTTTTTAAAAAACAGTTCCCCCCTACTCCCCACCCCTTAAAAATAATTTTGGATCATATTTTTTCAGGAATGGAATAAGACTGGCCAGGATATATGAACTTTCACTGTTTGATGGATTACAAAGGAACCTAGATGTGTTACCTTAGCAATGGGCAATGTCACCTGGCAATGAGAATGTTTAAATATGCAATACTATGGTAACAAACTAGCAACATTCAGGAGTTGAGTACTGAAAAAAAGCAATAAATCAAATTATTTCCATCTGCAAATAGGCTCCATCTCATTTGTATAGTGCAGTTTGACAGATAAAGGCTTACCATCAGTCAATAAGAAAAAGACATTTATTTACTGGTCAGCCATGTGAGCAAAAGTAAAGGGATGAAGATGACAGTCAAATTTCTTGGCTGAGTGGCTTGCTGTCAGACTCAATTCTTCTGAGTGTCTGTAGAACACCCTTCAGCTATGACTACAGTTCAGTAGTCAAAAACAGATTGTAGCAATGTCAGCACCAGTCAGGGAGTGAAGACACTTTCTATTTGCCCAAATAAAAATAACCAAACATTTATAAAGATATTTAGAAAAAATCCTGATGATTGTTTTAAGTACATTAGGGATTGTCACTTTTACCTTCAAGACAATTCTCCTCACCTGGTTTACCTCACAGGCATTTAATTTCATTTTACATGATATAATATATATATATATATATATTCAGCTTAAAGTCAATGGTGGGATCTACACAACAAAAATAGAAATGGCCTTTAGTCAAGATGCATGGGCCTGGAGGGGAGGGAAAGATGGAAGCTCAACAAGTTCCAATAAGCATCCAAACTTGACATTTTGACCCTATCCCAAGAACATCATACAGTGACTGGGCAGTGTCTACCAGAATATACATAGCTTTCCCTGAAAAAGGCCATCTAGAGTAACACTCACAACAGTTAATTATGAAGTTCATCTTCTAACAGCAGTCTGATGAAGAGTTAATTTATAATTCCTAGTCAATATATTCTATGGACTGGCTCTGGATCACGTTGGTCAATTTTGATGGAGGACTCTTGTGGCTTTTATCTATGCACGACTTACTGGATACAGCTGCAAGTGTGACTCTGTTGCTTCCAACTGTTTTATTTTTAGAATGAGATATGGTGGGTGAGGTAATATCTTATATTGGACAAACTTCTGTTGGTGAAAAAGCAGGCTTTTGAGCTCCACAGAGCTCTTCTTCAGTTTCCAATAAAAGATATTCCCTACCTTGTGTCTTTCATATCCCTGGGACCAACACGGCTACAACACCACTGCAAACAGCAATGGAATATATCACATTTTATTTTTAGAAGGTAAACTTTGCTTGTAAAATGTAATATTCTATTCTGGGAATTTAAATTATGATGGTTGCAGTTTGAGAGTTTTATTTTTGCTGATCCATTCCCTCTTGTTCTCCTGGATATTGATTGGCATCTGGAGCAGTTTCTTTTTGGTGGATATATACAAGCTTTGCCTTGTATCATGCTCTATGTCACTGATTGATTAAACGGTGAGTCTACACAACATTAACTTGTGCATTATTAATAATCATCCAGAGCACCTGGTATTGAGTAGGCAACATCCTTGCTCCAGAAAGAGCTGTGAAATAGTGCATCCAAATACCTCATGGACTAGTATCTCCGTCTCCATGGGTATGTCTATACTGCAGTTGAAGGTGTGATGACAGCAGAGGTTGGCATACCAGTGTTAGCTTTAACCTAGCCGACATGCCTAAAATCAGCAGTGAAGACATGGCACCACAGGCAGTGTGGGTTGTTCAAATACAGCAGGGACACTGGATATGTACTATGCTATGTTCAATGCTATGTTTAGTCAGCGTGTCTAGATTGAAGCTAGTGCAGGTATGTCAACCTGGGCTGCAATCATACTTTTGACTGCAGTGTAGACATACCACTAGAAATAGGGATAAATTGGCCCTTTTGTTGCACAGAAACCACGTGAGGAAGAGGGAATAAGAGTCTCCGTACTTTGCTGCCTGCTGGTAACGGACAGAACTAAAATTAAAAAACGAAGGCATTTTAAGGAAAATGAGAATGACAATGTCTGTGGAGGCAAGAGCACTAGAGACCTAAGATGCCCGAAACATCAATACAAGACAGATATAGGAATATCATTGTGCTGTTGAAATCTCTCATACACACTTCACTAAACCGCAGTGAATCATTCTAGATGGCGGAAATTGGAATTTCTAATTCACCTAAGGCGCTCACCTATTACATGTCCAGTTGTAATAAATGTATGTTATCGAACAAGTGAAACAAAGGGTTTAAACCATCTAAAAATGGGAAGAGCAATTCCTCAGGAGACACAGATATCAAAAAGCTATGCTTCTTCCTTTTTACAGACATGAAGGAGTTCATCTGGATGATCACTGACGCCTTACATGATTCACAACTACTGTGAATTCGCCAATGTTTGTGGTTTTTTTTAAAACCATACTCTTTGGTAAGTCACTCTTAAGGGACAAACAACAAAGCATTTCATACATATTTAATGCTTGTAAATACAAAAATAAAGGTTTTCACTGTAAATTTCCTAAGAAAGGAACTGCTGCAATTTTGAAATTAATTGAAGTACTACACATAAACTTGCCTATAATCTAGGTTAATATACATTTTTCTAATCAAACTAAAGCAGCACAGTCTACTACACGCATTGTATGGCAAGTAATAGTTTATCAAAGAATGAAGTACTTTAATAACCCTTTCATGTTTTTTTCTTTACAGGCATCAGTCTCACAGCCAAAAAATAATGCTGCAGTTATGGGCTGCTTCGTTTATTGACAGTTCCTACTTTATTTTTATGTTTGCTATGGCAGTTAGAACTACATAGGGTGAAAAATATAAGATTTGTGGGTCAGTTCCTGTGGGGAGCTCCATATGAAAAGATACTCAGAATATCTTTATTCTGAGCAACTATATATACTTTTCACCTCAAATAGTGCACTACGACTCGTTGTGGCAGAAGGAAGTAGAAAAATACAGGGGCTCTACCTTTACCATTGTTTTCCAATCCTGGTATTACAATGCATCATGAAAATGAAACTAACTTCAGTCAAATGAATCATTTGCTTGTCTCCTCCCTTTCCTGAACAACTAGATTGTTTAGAAGCAGAGTGGAATAAAATTAAAGCTACCCAGAAGACATACTGAACAGATGGTGCTTACTTTACTGATCTACTTATTTGTTTTAAACATTGATACACTACTACAGTAGGTCCTGTCAATTTACTTGTCATCTCATTCATGCCAGAATATTAAAAAAAAAAAAAAAAAAAGACTTTTTTTTGCGGACAAGTAAAATCTTACTATGCTCATTGTTGATGGTAAGTGCAGAGGATTTACTGCCTGTACCAGCAGGTAAATAAACAGTCTGTTCAGTAGAGCGGAATTAAGTATCCAGCCACAGACAGAAAGCCAATACTTCACAAATGGGACTGCTTGGTATTAGCTGCCATAGGCATCTGCATGCAGCTCCTTAACTACTATTACTCATGAATCTCCCCAGATACAGTTTGTTATCTTGACTCTAAGTGGCTCTCTCTAGTTTGTTTCTGCATTAGGCATGATGAATGCATTTTAAAAACTCTGACAGTAAAAGATTAAGCTCTTATGAGTCAAAGAAAGCTGTGGAGTGATTTCAAAAAGGCTGGATCAGGTTTTTCCACTTAGCTCATACTCACCTACATAGGCTTCCTCATCCACTGGCAGACGTAATGACATGCAGAGGTAGGTATCAGACTATTAAAGAAACAAAAGAATAAAAATTATCTTAAAATTGTATCTTGTTAGAATGGAAATAAAAGAATTCTAACATTGAAACTCTGCTCTACTGACACATGGGAACAAGCAATTATCCAAACTTATAGCTTGATAAACCTGGTCATGGAAATTATTTGCTACGGCTATCAAAAAAAAACCCCAACAACTAAGAATATTGAGAAAGGGAGACTAATTACTTGCCTTCTAATCCAACCATACAAAGTAAATCAAAGGAGCACACTAAATAAAATGACACCTTATTGGACGTTTGAATAATTTTTCTCTATTTGACTGTAATCTATAACTTACTGCATTCTAGAAAACAGCAGTAAGTCATGGCTAGATACAAATCTATCTGAATCAGTAGTTCTTTGCTTGTCCCTAGACTTAAGGAAGTGGTCTATTTCTGCCACGAAGCACATTAATATTGAAAATGTGTGCTAGAGCAGCAGCAATCTAAAAACTATATGTGCTTTATTAATGCATGCACCTCACTCCAATTAGAATGAATTGGAATTATGCCAGGGCATCAGGAAAAGAATATACTCCTTTAAAAAAAATTATGGAAGAGACGAGAAGCAATGCAAAATATTATTTGCAGTTCTCTTCAACTGTTAATTGTACAGAACAATCACTTTCCAAGAGCAATTAGATCACTGCTCCCATGAGACATAATGAGACTGGTCCCATGAGATGCAATAGGAAGTCCAGCCATCACATGTAATTCATGGTTACCATCTTCAAGTCTCTACTGATGCTTTTGGGGCTCTAAAACTTTTGTTTTAGCATTAAATGTCAATCACTTAAAAATTGGAAGTGCTCAAGTAGATACTTCAAAATTAAACATGAACCACTAAAATTTAAGTTGCAGTCACTGTGAACGCAAGATAGTGGCCATGGTCAAGTATCAGCAACTGCTTTTGCAGCTATGAACACCTTGGGTCATATTTTCAGAGATGCTGAGTACCCACAACTCCAAATGAATTCATTGGTAGGGAAGGAGAGGGGTGGAAAGAATGAACAAGAACAATGCTAAAGGAAGTTTTTCTATATGAAAACCTAAAGCTTCCAAAAAACACCAAAAAATAGCTTTTACCTCAAAAGGACTGATATGCAATCATCATATTTTAAAGGAAGGTTGCCAAATCCATTGTTTATCCTGAGGGTTCAGATTGGATTTTAAAATCATCAAAAGATGGACTGAATTGAATAGAAAATTTTGGATCCCTGTCAACCTAATAATATCAGGAGGCCCATCAGTAGAATGGGCCATAACCTACCAATTCAGAGCATAGGGTATGCTTGCTATGGTGTGTGAACTATGCTGCAAAACAGAATAATGATGTGATGGACTGCACTGGCACCAATTAAATAGTCAATTCCTTCTTTGCCTGCCTGTTATAGGACAGGCGCCATAAAAATAAACACTGTCCAGCAAAAATCACAATTAATAGCAATGCTCTTCTATAAGAGCTTAGCCAAGGAGACTGTATGATGTATGAGTTGCTGCTATAGTAAATTAGCTTGTTACCATGGTTTCTTTATATCCCAACAGGTATCAGTTTGTCTCTGAGGCCAGCAATATCATATTTATATTATGGTATCAGATGAGGGGAAAAAAGAGATAGCATTCACTACTGCATCTTAACATGGACATTTTATAGAGCATAATTTCTTAACAAGAGAAATCATTTATTTTTATTAGACTAGCGCCCACAAGCTCCAGTAGGGCAGGGGCCCCACTGTGGTAAGTACTGTACAAAACACATAGCAAGATAAAGTTTCTGTCCCAAAGAGCTTACAATCTAATTTAAGACAAGATGCAGCAAAAATGCCTAAATAATAATCAGATATAATTGAGGAGGAAGGACAGGTGTAACGTTGATAAGACTATGTGGTTACATAGATCAGCTATGTTCACTATTAAATAAGAAAAAGCAATATGCTAAGTTGTTTTGTCTTTTGCCAGGAGCTAGGAAAAAGCAGAGAAGGACAAATGATACAGTTGCTGTTGGGTGTGGTTATATATTCTAGCTAGGTGCCTTTGTGGAGTCAACACTGAAAACATAACTCTCAAAGGAACTGAAAGAGCAACACACTCTGCACATTACTTTTTTTCATTCAATCCTTGGGTTCACAAGCAGCACGTTTAAAAAAAACAAAAACAAAACAAAAAATAAACCTTCAAGTAAATCAAGAAACAAACTCTGTTCACTGTTTTGAAAGTCAAAAAGAACTAACAGGTGGAAACTAAAGTCAGACGAATTAAAATTAGAAAAAGGGCACAAAATGTTAATAGTGAAGGTGACTAACCTGTGGAACAAACCACCAAGGGAAACAGTGGATTCTTTGTTTCCTGGATTCTACAAATCAACACTGGATGCCTTCCGGAAGACATGATTCAGCCAAACACAAGTAATTGAGCTCAGTACACGGGTGAAATTCTATGGCCTGTGTTACACAGGAAGTCATACTAGATCAGGGTTTCTCAAACTTTTTCATACTGTGGACTACATCTTCATAGAGATCGTCTATTACAGTCCCCTCTTTTCACATTAAAGATGGATTAACATCCCTGTGTTTACTACAGCAATTGCTTACATGGAAAGCTGATATTAGGAAACTATTTAATTTACGTTTAGCTTCTTTTAATTTACCACTGCAAGTAGAAACAAAGAGGAGAGGCAGCATCTTATGACCAACCAGCTCTCCACAGACTGCTCAGAGTCCATAGACCACAGTTTGGGAACCACTGTTCTAGATGATCTATTGGTCCCCCTTCTGGATTAAAAAAATATATGAATCCATGAACATCATTGGAAATTTAGGGGCATTAAATCAGTTGATGTGATGTACATTTGTTTTAGCTGTTGTTGAATCACAATGGTGATTCTCTGCCCTACTATTACAGTATATAACCAAGTAGTACAATGCCCTGGGCAAGGTTTTCATTATTCTACACCCAATCCAATCTAACACTACACACATTCACACCCACTCTTTTTTTATACTTTCTCTCACAATGAAGTGTTCTATATCTTAGCATATTGCCTCAGGCTCCTAAGTAGTCTGTCAGAAAACTCAGACTCTGACCTACTGAAAGAGGATGACACAGTAAAGGAAGGAATTAATCACAGCCATAGCTTTAGGGTCTCTCACTCTGGTACTCTGCCAGTCCTAAAGCAACAACCAAACTTGAAGGTCTTAGAATCATAAAATCATAGAAATGTAGAGTTGGAAGGAACCTAAAGAGATCATCTAGTACAACTCACAGTGGTGAGGTAGGACCAAGTAAACCTAGACCATCCCTGACAGGCATTTGTCCAACCTGTTCTTAAAATCCTTCCAATGATGGGGATTCCAAAACCTCCCTTGGAAGCCTATTTCAGTACTTAACTACTCTTACGCTTAGAAAGTTTTTCCTAATATCTAACTTAAATCTCTTCTGCTGCAGATTAAGCCCATAACTTCTTGTTTCACCTTCAGTGGACATAGAGAACAACTGATCACTGTCTTCTTTATAGCAGCCATTAACATATTTAAAGACTATTAACAGCCCCCCCCCCCTCAGTCTTCTATTCTCAAGACGAAAGATGTCCAGTTTTTTTTAACCTCCTCTCATATTTCAGGATTTCTAAACCTTTTAACATTTTATTCGCTCTCCTCTGGACCCTCTTCAATTTGTCCACATCTTTCTTAATGTGTGTCCAAAACTGGACACAATATTGTATCTGAAGTCTTACCAGTGCCAACCAGAGCGCGACAATTATCTCCCGTGTCTTACACACAACTTTCCTGTTAATATGCTCCAGAACAATATTAGCCTTCCTGGCAACTGCACCACAAGATATGTCTACATTGCAAAGAAAAACCCTCGGCGCTGAGTCTCAGAGCCTGGGTCAACTGACTTGGGCTTGTGGGGTTAGGGCTGCAAGGCTAAAAATAGCAGTATAGATAAGTGGTCCCCAACCTTTTCCGTGGGGTGGGCGCCGGAAGACTAGCTGCCGAGTACCATGGCCGCTGGACAAGCAGCCGCCGAAATGCTGCCGTGAAGCAGCATCAACAAGAGGCATCGCCGCCGAAATGCCGAAATTCAGTGGCATTTCGGCGCTAGCGCTTCTTGACGTTGCCGCTTCTCTGCGGCATTTCGGCGGCTGCTTGTCCGGCGGCCAGTAGGGGGGCGCACATGGATGCCCCAGCGGGTGCCATGGCGCCCGCGGGCACTGCGTTGGGGACCCCTGGTATAGATGTTCACAGTGGGGCTGGAACCCAGGTTCTGAAATCCAACAAGGGGGGAGAGTCTGAGAGCTCAGGCTCCAGCCTGAGCCTGAACATATACACTGCTATTTTTGTTAATATTGATTGTGTTAAGTATCTGGTTTACAGTTTACCTTTTTAGTGAAGACAAAGCAAAACAGGCATTAAACACCTCAGCCTTCCTGATGTCTTCTATTATTAGCTCTCCTTCCATGTTAAGTAGAGAACCTTCAACTTTTTCTTTATATGTCTCTTGCTTCATATTTCAAGAATCTCTCCTTATTGCCTTTTATAACCCTGCCAAGGAGTAACTCATTTTGTGCCTTAACCCTTCTGATTTTGCCTCTAAATGTTTGTGCTGTTCTTTGGTGCTCCTCCTAGCAATTTGTCCATGTTACCACTCTTTGTGGGATTCTTCTACAACTTTCAGGTCACTAAAGAGTTCTTGATGGAGCCATATTGCCCTCTCGCTATTCTTCATAGCGAAATAGCTAGCAGTTGTGCATTTAATATTGTCTCCTTGAAAAACTGCCAGTTCTCCTGAACTTTTTATCCTCTTGGAGGTGCTTCCCATGGGACCTTACCTACCAAATCTCTGAGTTTGTTAAAATCTGCTTTTTTGAAGTTCATTGTCTTTATTCTGCTGCACTTACTCCTTCCTTTCCTTAGAATCAGGATACCTTTCATTTTATGATCACACCAAAATTGCCTTCAGCCTTTAG